CTACTTCCCGCACCTGGGCGCCTGCCTGGACGAGGCGCAGCTGCTCGGCCACGGGCGGCGCATGCTGGAGGCGGTGGGCGTGGCCGTGCGGCACATGGACCACCTGCGCGCCGCCCTGAGCCCGCTGGCCGACCTGCACGGGCAGGTGCTGCGCGTGGACCCGGCCAACTTCCCGGTGAGCCTTTCTGCCCGGCTGCGAGGTGCTCAGGGAGGGACTGGCGGACAGACCCGTCTCACTTGCCCTTCTCCCGCAGCTGCTGATCCAGTGTTTCCAGGTGCTGCTGGCCTCCCACCTGCAGGACGAATTCACAGTGGAGATGCAGGCGGCGTGGGACAAGTTCCTGACCGGCGTGGCCGTGGTACTGACCGAAAAGTACCGCTGAACCCGGATCCCGCAGCCCTTGGTCTGCTCAGTCAATAAAGAGGCCGCAAACGTCTGCACCCTGCTGAGTGTGGTCTTTGGGAACCGGGAGAGCGCCATCACCTCACCCTCACCCTTCTCTGCTGGGCAGAGAAGCAGGGATCCTGCGAGAAACTCCCAGAACTCTTAAATGCCCATCCAAAAGTCTGCCCTCCCGTGGTAGGGGCGTGCGGGGGCGCAGAGGGGTTTCCACAATGCAAGGTGCCTTCAACCTCAACTCCCGCTCTGGCAAGCACATCCGCATTCATTCGTCGGTTCCTTCGTTCTCCCTCTACCCCCACCTGCAGACTGGAGCCCTGACTGAGAGAAGCAGGACCAGGTTCAGCCAACACGTGGCCAGAGGCCACACAAAGTCGGGGCTCCTCTGATCCCCTGCTCCTTCCCCTCCTTCCCCACCCGGGACTCTCCCTCCGCAAACAGCCTGCAGCCGCCTGGCTGGCCCCTTCCTCTGAGCCCCACCACTGCGGGTGTGGGGGGAGGGACCCTCAGCGGCTGCCATTGGCAGGCAGAGCAGGTTTCCAACCATTTCACCCAACCAGCTGGGCCTGTCCCAGAGCGCCCTGGCTTCGCCCATCAGATGAAACAGACCCCAGCTCACTAGAACTTGACATCCTTTTGGAGCTTGAAAGGCAGGGTCGTAGGCGCAGGGGCTCAAGCCTGTGATCCCAGCACTTTGGGAGGCTGAGGTGAGAGGATTGCCTGAAATCACATGTTCGAGACCAGCCTGGGCACCTTGGTGAGACATCGTCTCTACAATAAATCAAAAAATCAGCCTGGTGTGGTAGCACATGCCTGTAGTTCCAGCTACTTGGAAGACTGAGGTGGAAGGATCGTCTGGGCAACTTGGTGAAACCTCGTCTCTACAATAAATCAAAAAAATCATCCAGGCATGGTAGCACATGCCTGTAGTTCTAGCTACTTGGAAGGCTGAGGAGGAAGTAGAAGTATCACCTGAACCCAGCAGGTGGAGGCTGCGGTGGCTGTGAGTGTGCCACTGCACTCCAGCCTGGGTGACAGAGTAACTCCAACTCAAAAGAAAAAAGAAAGAAAGAAGGAAGGAAGGAAGGAAGGAAGGAAGAAAGAGAGAGAAAGAGAAAGAAAAACTGGTTGCCTGGCAGGCTCTCAACCACCCCGCCCCCACCCCAGGCCCAAGCTGCTACATCTCAGTCTCTGTAGGCACACCCCTCCAAGGTGCCCCCTCTGCCAGGTCCCATACCTCACCCTCAACACCAGGGCAGGAATCTTAGGACTCCTCCCCAGCTTTTGCAAAGAACCAGAGCTGAGGAGAAAGGGAGAATCTAGACTCCCCAAATCCTGAATGAGGACAGTTCCTGGGTTGGCAATCCCGGATCTGTGCAGGAAAATTGGCCTAGCAGGCTGGGAACTCAGTGCCAGATCCAGAGAGAGATGCTGGAAGCTGGGCACTGACCGGGGTCAGTCAAATTCCTCCCACAGTCTTGACGGAGACTTGATACCCAGCCTGCTTGGGACCATGGCATACCAGTGGGGGAAGGGCACCTTGGAGACAGGAGCCCACACAAGGAGCATGGCCAAGGCTGTGCAGCTCACGCTGCTCCTCCTCTGCTCAAGGCAGTTGGACACTCACTTCCTCCTAGGGCTGGGTTTGAGTTAGGGTCCTAAGGGAGGGAAGGGCAGAGGGGTGGACTGAAGATTGCCCACCCAACTCACTCCCCAAAGCAGGGTCTTCTTCAGGCCCAGGGAGAGGAAAGATCCCTGATTCCTCAGCCTCAGGACCCTGCTCCACCAACCTGCCCAAGAAACCGTCACTTTTCACCAGCAGGGGCTGCAGCAGTGGCCACCCTGCCCACTTAACTGCTTCGCCCCAAGTCCACCCCCTCCTCACCCTGCAGAATCTGGCCAACCTCATCCCCCCACATACGCCACCTCCATTCTGCAGCCAAGGGGCCTTCCCGCATCCCTCTCCCACCCCCAAGCCAAGCCCCATCTCTATTCCGCCTAACACTCGTCCCTAAGTCTCTTCTCCTCCAGGAAGCCCACCCTGATCCTCAGACCCACCCAGGTTCCCTTGACCCTCATCCACCCCTGCAAGCTTCCTCAGGGGTTTTGACACAATTTGTAACTGTGTGTGTATCGTGTGTTGATTTGATGACTGCCTGTGTCCCACAGCGGGTTATATGCTCAGGTCTTGTTCAGCCTGTTGCTTTGTTTACCAACGGAAGCAGGTCTTGGATCCGCTGCAGTTTGGAGAGCTGGGGGTGGGTGTCATTGTGAGTCAGGACCCCAGGCGGGGGGGGGGGCCGGGAGACA